CCCACCCCTCCCTACTGAAGCAGCCCCCCACCCCCACTCCACCCCACCCCTCCCCTACTGAAGCAGCCCCCCCACCCCCACTCCACCCCACCCCTCCCCTACTGAAGCAGCCCCCCCCCTCCCACACTCCCCACCACAACAGCTCGTCCCCCACACACACACCACAATAATAAACACGTAGAGCTCTCACAGTTATATAAAACACTGCTGACATATAACAAAAATCATGATATCCCGCCAGACACACACCGAAACAACGACGTTGATACAACGTTCGAACAAGTTTTAACACCTCCTAACCAGTTATAACAACCAATATAGCAAGTTGTAACAACGTTTTAATACGTCATAAACACGGTAAGCCAAGATGTAACAACTTTATTACAAGTTGTAACAAGCGGAAAATAGAGACAGTTTCGGTTTGTGTTTCCAGGGATAGGAACAACTTATGAAAACTCTATTGTCAGGGAACCGGTCGGCCGAGCGGACAGCACGCTGGGCTTGTGATCCTGTGGTCCTGGGTTCGATCCCAGGCGCCGGCGAGAAACAATGGGCAGAGTTTCTTTCACCCTATGCCCCTGTTACCTAGCAGTAAAATAGGTACCTGGGTGTTAGTCAGCTGTCACGGGCTGCTTCCTGGGGGTGGAGGCCTGGTCGAGGACCGGGCCGCGGGGACACTAAAAAGCCCCGGAATCATCTCAAGATAACCTCAAGAAGATGATGTTCTCCGGAGCCACTTCAATAAATTATGCCTATAGTGCAACTTGAGTGGCAAGATTGGCTTATAGGCCTAGCTGACTGCTTAAATGTTCTTGCAGTGATTCTTCATAGAACTCGAAGCGAAGGCTAATTATCATGTAAGTGGTAAGTTAACCTTGAAGTACAGTGACGCGACCTACTGTGATTATCACCATCCCACCTACTGTGTCCAACTTGGGCTCTATTAACAAAGTTTCCATCAAAGTTCATGGAGGAGATAATGTATGTAATGCTGTACTCACCTAGGTGTGTGTGTGTGTGTGTGTGTGTGTGTGTGTGCGTGTGTGTGAGAGAGAGAGAGAGAGAGAGATTAAATTATCATTAATTTTTGTTATGTACATATTCATATGTATTATGGACGTGAATATCATACATGTATCCATGCAAGTACCTATGTATACGAATCTTGATTGTCTTACCCTCCCCCCCCCCCATCAACACCCATACCAACCACTAGATTGGCAATTGAGAGGCGGGACCAAAGAGCCGAAGCTCAACCCCCGCAAGCACTCTTAGATAAGTACATCAACAGTAGCTAAGAGTCCAAAGGCCGCCTCACTCCCAGAAACATCTCCAAGAGCCACTTAACTTGCCAAGATACGCAGTACTAAGAACACAGTTCAGATTTTCTTATATTTTTTACCTCTCAACACTGTGGCCAGCCTGGCGGCGGCAGGCCGGCCACGGGTCGCAGAGGAACACGCACCAGTTTTTACCCGGCCTGTACCGAACCTGTTGGCCGATTAATGGAAGAGTTCTTACGCATGCCAGACCGTATACTGGTTCTCCTGTACGTGAGGAGTAGGAGCCAGGCGGCCTCTCTTCCGTGTCTTCCCCAAGGGGTCGAGGCATTATTGCCTCTATGTCTATCCCAAGCGAGGCAGCTACCCAGTGGGAGGTCACATACCCCGGGGGACGCCCCTACCCAAAGGGACTATACTGCCTATAGGCTGGCAGTACTGGAGGCCATGTACTGGGCCAGGTGTAGGGAGGTGGATACTGTCTTAGATATTGTAGTAGACATCAGCTCTGCCTCCATATAGGCACCAATTACGACGCCTCAGACATAATATAGTCACTGTCTTTCAAGGAATAACACACATTTTCCGACCAATCGTCCCATTCGACCATTACTGCATTAAACCAGCCCCTTAGCTCATTAGTGTACGCCTTTACGTCAGGGCGCCTCAAAGCTATTTATCCTCACCAACTTTGTTTCCCTTCCGCCCGGTTGTTAATGGGTATTTTACCTAATTAACATTCGTCACCTTACGAAGCTCTTCTTAGCAATTACCGTTAAGTAGCTGTTAATGCAGTTATACTGAAGACTAATTAGCTACGTGTGTCACTTCCAGTTGTTTATGGAACTACTTAGTGCAAGGAACTGCTCAGTCGTCTCCAGGTCTTGGTAGTTAGAGAGGGGGGGGGGGAAAGGGATGGACGCGACGGAGGGGAGATAGGGACCGGAATTGGTCGAGGGGGACGTGAGGGGGGGGTTCGGGGGGGGGGGGGTAGAGGACCTAAACGTTCCTGGCAAGTGGCAGGAAGTCCCCCCCTGGTCACTCCCCCCCTCCCACACACGACACTAACCAGGAAAACGAGTCATAGTGGCGGGTCATGAGGATAACAGTGATGGTGGCGGGTCATGAGGATAACAGTGATGGTGGCGGGTCGTGAGGATAACAGTGATAGTGGCGGGTCGTGAGGATAACAGTGATAGTGGCGGGTCACCAGGATAACAGCGTGGAGGCCGGGTCACCAGGATAACAGCGTGGAGGCCGGGTCATGAGGATAACAGCGTGGAGGCCGGGTCACCAGGATAACAGCGTGGAGGCCGGGTGTAGCCAGCAGGAGAGGTCTGGGATAACCGGTTGAAGCAACAAGTGGTTCAGTCCTCATATAATTTGTCGAGGAGCAAAAACCCTTTAACTGGAGCACTTCTTGTACACTGAAGGTCTCTCATCTGGGCCCCAGAGACTGTCTTTGTTTCTCATCTGGGCCCTCGAGACTGTCTTTGTTTCTCATCTGGGCCCCCGAGACTGTCTTTGTTTCTCATCTGGGCCCCCGAGTGTCTTTGTTTCTCATCTGGGCCCCAGAGACTGTCTTTGTCTCTCATCTGGGCCCCCGAGACTGTCTTTGTCTCTCATCTGGGCCCCCGAGACTGTCTTTGTCTCTCATCTGGGCCCCAGAGACTGTCTTTGTCTCTCATCTGGGCCCCCGGGAGTGTCTTTTTTTCTCATCTGGGCCCCAGAGACTGTCTTTGTCTCTCATCTGGGCCCCAGAGACTGTCTTTGTCTCTCATCTGGGCCCCCGGGAGTGTCTTTGTTTCTCATCTGGGCCCCAGAGACTGTCTTTGTCTCTCATCTGGGCCCCCGAGACTGTCTTTGTTTCTCATCTGGGCCCCCGAGAATGTCTTTGTCTCTCATCTGGGCCCCAGAGACTGTCTTTGTCTCTCATCTGGGTCTCCGAGAGTGTCTTTGTTTCTCATCTGGGCCCCCGAGAATGTCTTTGTTTCTCATCTGGGCCCCCGAGACTGTCTTTGTTTCTCATCTGGGCCCCAGAGTGTCCTTGTTTCTCATCTGGGCCCTCAAGACTGTCTTTGTTTCTCATCTGGGCCCACGAGACTGTCTTTGTTTCTCATCTGGGCCTCCGAGAGTGTCTTTGTTTCTCATCTGGGCCCCCGAGAGTGTCTTTGTTTCTCATCTGGGCCCCCGAGAGTGTCTTTGTTTCTCATCTGGGCCCCCGAGACTGTTTTTGTTTCTCATCTGGGCCCCCGAGAGTGTTTTTGTTTCTCATCTGGGCCCCCGAGTGTCTTTGTTTCTCATCTGGGCCCCCGAGTGTCTTTGTTTCTCATCTGGGCCCCCGAGTGTCTTTGTTTCTCATCTGGGCCCCCGGGAGTGTCTTTGTTTCTCATCCGGACCCTCGAGACTGTCCTTGTCTCTCGCCTGGTCCCCCAAGACTGTCCTTGTCTCTCATCTGGTCCCCCAAGACTGTCCTTGTCTCTCATCTGGTCCCCCAAGACTGTCCTTGTCTCTCATCTGGTCCCCCAAGACTGTCCTTGTCTCTCATCTGGTCCCCAAAGACTGTCCTTGTCTCTCATCTGGTCCCCCAAGACTGTCCTTGTCTCTCATCTGGTCCCCCAAGACTGTCATTGTCTCTCATCTGGTCCCCCAAGACTGTCCTTGTCTCTCATCTGGTCCCCCAAGACTGTCCTTGTCTCTCATCTGGTCCCCAAAGACTGTCCTTGTCTCTCATCTGGTCCCCCAAGACTGTCCTTGTCATATAGACCACAAGAAAGTCTTCAGCCAGACTTAAGAGCCACCTGATCAACGCATTTCATTCCCAACAACTACGAAACGCGTCCTTCCTAACAGATTTGCCGTAGGGGACACATAACCAAGGGCGTATGTACCCAAGGGCGTATATTTAGCAACAAAATGCTCTAAGCATAGAGAGAATGATCTGGTCGGGTAATTATTACGCTCAAAGTTTCCAGAGCGTAAATGTGTGAGATCATCCTCGCTGCGACGCCTGGAGGGTTGTCACGGGGCGGCGCCAGAGGTCACGGGGCGGCGCCAGAGGTCACGGGGCGGCGTCGGAGGTCACGGGTCGGCGTCGGAGGTCACGGGGCGGCGCCAGAGGTCACGGGGCGGCGCCAGAAGTCACGGGGCGGCGCTGACCCCGCCACCAGCAAGTCCTGCCTGACAGTCTGCACGTCCCACTCGCCTCCACAGCAGATGATTCACTCCTATTAATTGGTCCTTGAACTTATTAGCACAGGACCTGTCTGCTGCTGCTGTGTGTACGTGTCGCTATTACAGCAGGACCTGTCTGCTGCTGCTGTGTGTACGTGTCGCTATTACAGCAGGACCTGTCTGCTGCTGCTGTGTGTACGTGTCGCTATTACAGCAGGACCTGTCTGCTGCTGCTGTGTGTACGTGTCGCTATTACAGCAGGACCTGTCTGCTGCTGCTGTGTGTACGTGTCGCTATTACAGCAGGACCTGTCTGCTGCTGCTGGGGAGTATTCCCTAGGGGGAGGCTGAGAGCCCGCTATTATGAGAGAACGGGGCTTCAAGGGAGTACCTACTTGGCTCTGCTTTACTACACAATCCCAGAATGATATTCCCCTCGTCGTCTCAGCTTTACTACACAAACTTCCTTACATTACAACTGTGCTGAGACTCATCGCTGAGGCCTGTAAGAGAGTGGGTGAGCGAGGAGTGAGAACGGCGTGTTTACCTGTCTATGGAGGGTGAGGAGGCTATGGCGCTTGCAGTACCAGTAGCAGAAGTGGGCGGCCGAGTAGAGGAGGAGCCAGGCCACCAGCACCAGCTGCCACTTCTCCTTCAGGATGAGCACCACGATGATGAAGACCCAGCCCAGCACCACCAGGAAGGCCAGCACCGCCCCCACCACACGCCACCGCATCAGGCGAGACTTGCAGGCGGGGTGCATCCCCTCTGGCACCTCCATTGTGCTCTCCTGGAGCCTCGTGTCCGCCTCCCCTGCCATGCTCCAACACTTTAGTGGCTCACTGGAGTATTCTCCCTGTGCTGAGAGGGGTTTTATGGGATCCTGGCGTCTACAGGTCGCTTCCCATTCATGCGAAGCGAGAGAACATGTGATGACGTCCTTCCGCTGTGAAGCTTCGAGACCGACTGGCCACAGGCGGGTAGCGTAGCTCACACCTGGCGGGAGAAGCGCATGCGCAGTTAGTAGGAAGACATTGACATGGCGGCATTTATCCTACTTATTGTATTCACTTGACTCCAATTTATTTTTTAAGTGTCACTTTCACTACTTAATGCGCTGTAGGAATTGAGAATTGTAACACTAAATGTAACTTGTAATGATGCATGAGATCAGTTGAGTTGAACTCGGGATGAGGCGCCTGAAGAATGTTCACTTTTGTATCATGAATGCTGCAAGTTTCTGTCTACCATGACCTGTCTACCATGATCTGTCTACCATGACCCGTACCTGTCTACCATGACCTGTCTACCATGACCTGTACCTGTCTACCATGACCTGTCTACCATGACCTGTACCTGTCTACCATGACCTGTCTACCATGATCTGTCTACCATGACCTGTACCTGTCTACCATGACCCGTACCTGTCTACCATGACCTGTCTACCATGACCTGTCTACCATGACCTGTACCTGTCTACCATGACCTGTCTACCATGATCTGTCTACCATGACCTGTCTACCATGATCTGTCTACCATGACCTGTACCTGTCTACCATGACCTGTCTACCATGACCTGTCTACCATGATCTGTCTACCATGATCTGTCTACCATGACCTGTCTACCATGACCTGTACCTGTCTACCATGACCTGTCTACCATGACCTGTACCTGTCTACCATGATCTGTTTACCATGACCTGTACCTGTCTACCATGATCTGTTTACCATGACCTGTCTACCATGACCTGTCTACCATGATCTGTCTACCATGACCTGTACCTGTCTACCATGACCTGTACCTGTCTACCATGTACCTGTCAACCATGATCTGTTTACCATGACCTGTCTACCATGACCTGTACCTGTCTACCATGACCTGTCTACCATGTACCTGTCTATCATGATCTGTTTACCATGACCTGTCTACCATGACCTGTATACCATGATCTGTCTACCATGACCTGTACCTGTCTACCATGACCTGTACCTGTCTACCATGACCTGTCTACCATGACCTGTACCTGTCTACCATGATCTGTTTACCATGACCTGTCTACCATGACCTGTACCTGTCTACCATGATCTGTTTACCATGACCTGTCTACCATGACCTATCTACCATGATCTGTCTACCATGACCTGTACCTGTCTACCATGTACCTGTCTACCATGATCTGTTTACCATGACCTGTCTACCATGACCTGTATACCATGATCTGTCTACCATGACCTGTACCTGTCAACCATGACCTGTACCTGTCTACCATGACCTGTCTACCATGTACCTGTCTATCATGATCTGTTTACCATGACCTGTCTACCATGACCTGTATACCATGATCTGTCTACCATGACCTGTACCTGTCTACCATGACCTGTACCTGTCTACCATGACCTGTCTACCATGACCTGTCTACCATGACCTGTACCTGTCTACCATGATCTGTTTACCATGACCTGTCTACCATGATCTGTTTACCATGACCTGTCTACCATGATCTGTTTACCATGACCTGTCTACCATGACTTGTCTACCATGATCTGTCTACCATGACCTGTACCTGTCTACCATGACCTGTACCTGTCTACCATGACCTGTCTACCATGTACCTGTCTACCATGATCTGTTTACCATGACCTGTCTACCATGACCTGTATACCATGATCTGTCTACCATGACCTGTACCTGTCTACCATGACCTGTACCTGTCTACCATGATCTGTTTACCATGACCTGTCTACCATGACCTGTACCTGTCTACCATGATCTGTTTAACATGACCTGTCTACCATGACCTGTACCTGTCTACCATGATCTGTTTACCATGACCTGTCTACCATGATCTGTTTACCATGACCTGTCTACCATGATCTGTCTACCATAACCTGTACCTGTCTACCATGACCTGTACCTGTCTACCATGATCTGTTTACCATGACCTGTCTACCATGACCTGTCTACCATGACCTGTACCTGTCTACCATGACCTGTACCTGTCTACCATGACCTGTCTACCATGTACCTGTCTACCATGATCTGTTTACCATGACCTGTACCTGTCTACCATGACCTGTCTACCATGTACCTGTCTACCATGACCTGTCCTGTCGACTTGAGTCTTATATGTAGATGTTTGTAGACGATAAATGTGGGGAAAAAATCAGTTGATTGACAGTTGAGAGGCGGGCCCAAAGAGCCAGAGCTCAATCCCCGCAAGCACAACTAGGTGAATACAACTAGGTGAGTACGCACACACACACACACACACACACACACACACACACACACACACACACACACACACACACACACACACACACACACACACACACAGGTAAGCACAACTTCTGCAAGAGTTTACAGCTATATGATAACCAAGGCGCAGCAACAGCTATATGATAACCAAGGGGCAGCAACAGCTATATGATAACCAAGGCGCAGCAACAGCTATATGATAACCAAGGAGCAGCAACAGCTATATGATAACCAAGGAGCAGCAACAACTATATGATTACCAAGGAGCAGCAACAACTATATGATAACCAAGGGGCAGCAACAGCTATATGATAACCAAGGGGCAGCAACAACTATATGATAACCAAGGAGCAGCAACAACTATATGATAACCAAGGCGCAGCAACAGCTATATGATAACCAAGGAGCAGCAACAACTATATGATTACCAAGGGGCAGCAACAGCTATATGATAACCAAGGGGCAGCAACAGCTATATGATAACCAAGGAGCAGCAACAACTATATGATAATCAAGGCGCAGCAACAACTATATGATAACCAAGGAGCAGCAACAACTATATGATAACCAAGGGGCAGCAACAGCTATATGATAACCAAGGGGCAGCAACAACTATATGATAACCAAGGAGCAGCAACAACTATATGATAACCAAGGCGCAGCAACAGCTATATGATAACCAAGGAGCAGCAACAACTATATGATAACCAAGGGGCAGCAACAGCTATATGATAACCAAGGGGCAGCAACAGCTATATGATAACCAAGGAGCAGCAACAACTATATGATAACCAAGGCGCAGCAACAGCTATATGATAACCAAGGAGCAGCAACAACTATATGATAACCAAGGGGCAGCAATATGATAACCAATGTTTACACGGTGATAACCTTACGGAAAAAAGCTAACACAAACATCGTATGACAGTTAAAGGAGAAAATGCTCAAAACCGGACAATTTGGGAGAGAGGAAATGCTCGGGGTAGTTTAACCACAGGTGCACCCAGCAACTACATTCCTCACCCAATCAACGTTTTGCCTGACCAGATAGTTTTCCTACTATCCTTCTTTAATAGTGACGTCTTTGACCTGCAGCTTCCTGTGACAATGTATAATACAGATGCATTGTGTACGTTGGTATTATATAATTTTTTTTTTTACTGCAAATATATTTTTATTATTGAATTAGTTGTACCCGGCCACGCGTTGCTGTGGCTCAGCAACGCCTGTGTGTGTGGCTAGGCTACAGCAATCCTCTTCCGGTCTTCCAGTCCTCCCCCACTATTTCCCCCCTCCCCCATCCTCTGGTCCTCCCAACCATTCCCCACTACACCGTCCCCTCGTCCTCCCCACCATTCCCAACTCCCTCGTCCGATGCATTCCCAAGTGATCTGATGTTCCCATCAGAAAATTGGGAACATCAAATGATCTGGTCTTCCCATTGTGGGAACCGACCTGTGAGATTTATATTTATTTAATTTATATGAATTTATATAGAATTTATATTTACGTTAATTTATATACTTCGATAGCAATTTGTATAATGATAAGTGGACTGTATTTCTGCAATAATCTCTTAATCTCACAAATCGATCCTCTACACATTAGGGGGGGTTTAATAGTTTATATATATATGCAGCCAATCAAACTACAAAATTAACTACATACATTGAAGAGGTTCCTTATCTTATAGTACAGCAGGTTAGTCCACCAGGTATAACTAGGGTGTAGACACCAAATTATCCTCTTTGAGGTAGTTTCCATCACCCAGTAACTGGTGCACAAAATCTTGCATCCTCGTCTTGACCTGTCAAAAGTGCGCTAGCTGTGAAGCCAGAATCCTATATATGACAAGTATTTCAGAGAAAACTGTACATGGAACATGAAGACCTGGCTTAAATACCTTTAGTTTGAGGCTTCCACGTGATCTAACCGGATCACCCTATATCCTGACATTAATGGCCATAAATGAATGATAAACGGGTTTCGGAAGAACACTTAACTTGAATTGTAGACATCGTGTTGGAGATGGTACCTTTGGTTTCCATAACACTACGTCCAAGTAAAATTAACAGGAGCCGAATTTGCTCCCGTGTGAGCCTCTGGTCTCGTATAAACAATGGCTGTTTAACACTCCATACTATTGACGTTACTGGCCGACATTGTCCAGATATGATAGGAGCTAAATTTGCTCCACACGTCTCGGAGGTGACACAACAATGGCTGCCTCCTTCCTCCCTGACGCCTGGCCTACTTTGTCCAGATTTCAGAAAGTGATAGAAGGGTCACATTTACTCTACTTTAATATTGATAATTAAGTTAATTTATATAAGATGTTTTTATGATGGTAAAGTCCAAAGACTAATGTATTTAAGAATAATTCCCAGCAGAATAGCTGGTGAATTATAATGGTATGTGGTGATGATATCCCGTTTTCTTTAGATGGTAATTCCACTACAAGTTACGTTTTCTATGGGTAACTTGTTGGTAATACAGCTATTATCTGTATGATTATTAAATGGTGTCGGATTTTCCGACATAATTCCCCAGGGGGCTGCTCACGGGTCGAAGTCCTATTTAGAACAGACGAACACCGATACTCCTCCTTCGAATTATTAGATTAATTTGATGTTAGTAGTTAGTAATCACACATTTGTGTGTCTGTTCGTACAGGACGGATGTCCCGTACTAGAGTTGTAGGGGTTAGAAGTCTAATGCGATTTCATTTCCCTGTCAACTCTTGAAAGGCTAATATTCAA